CCCCAAAACCCCAAAACCCCAAAACCCCAGTAGATTGTTAAAGTGTTGAATTATCATAATTTAGTTTAATTCACTACAAAATGGAAAGCATGAACAAAGATGATGCCCATTCTAGTGGTAAGGTCCTTGCTAGAGCCAGGAGGCTTATAATCCCCACCTGTCATAACCCTTCATGAGCTTGTTTTGTAATGGATAGGATAAATGGAATCTCTTTGAACCTATGAGCAATTGAGAAAATATTAAACCCAAATATAGATGGGACGAAGGGAGGTAAAGACGATAAACAAAAGAACCTAGAGCAAGATTTCAAGCATGCAGCAAGCCAGGGGCACCTAGGTAATATTAGAAAAACTCATCCATTTTAGAATCTGATAAAGATGATCTCCAAATTCAGACTGATTTCTCAGAGAAATTAGAGGAGGACTTGGAAGGTAAGAATCCTCTCTTTCATACTATATAGAAGAGAAGAAATTATTATCTTCACAAAGTGATCCTCCTCAGGTTCCTTCTTATCAGCAGATAGAACAGTTAACTGATAAAGACCTCAAGGACAGATATGAGACTCTTCGTAATAAGATCAAGAGCTCTAAAGAACAAAGTACTCTTTTGGCAGATCAGGTAAATAAGACCTTATGAACAAAAATAAGTGCCGAAGCAGAAATGAAAATAATTAGTAGAAGAATTCCAAATGACCAGGAAGAAGTAGAAAGGGCAAACAAAGAACAGCAAAAGGCTAATCAAAAATTGACAAAAGCTACTCAACATTATAATTTGGCCGAACTCAGAAAGAAGATAAGCATACTAACTGAGAGAAGAGTTTAAATTAGATCTTGAGAAGTGTCAAAAGGAACTAAATAAAAGAGAAGGAGCTAAAGAGAAAGAACAGAAAATGAAAGTTGGGATGAAGCTTCTATCTCCAAACAGCATACAAGGATTTAATGAAAGAATCATCAAAATTGAGAAGGTGCTTGATAATCATGGATCCAGGCTTGATAATCTTGAATCCAGGCTTGATAGAATTGAAGGTCTACTTCAAAAAATTTTGGAAAAGAATGACTAACCTCCACTAAAAACGTTTAATCAGTGAAAATTATCAACATTCAATTTTGTTATCATCAAACGGGGTTTTGGGGTTTTGGGGTTTTGGGG